GGGGCAGACCCTAACCCACACACTCATTAACCAAACCACAGGCCCCCAAGTTACATTTGAGTCATTTAGCAGACGCTCTTATCCAGAGCGACTTACAGTTAGTGAGTGCATACATTATTTTTTATTTTTCATACTGGCCCCCCGTGGGAATCAAACCCACAACCCTGGCGTTGCAAACGCCATGCTCTACCAACTGAGCTATATCCTTGCCGGCCATTCCCTCCCCTACCCTGGACGACGCTTGGCCAATTGTGCGCCGCCCCATGGGTCTCCCGGTCGCGGCCGGCTATGACAGAGCCTGGATTCAAACCAGGATCTCTAGTGGCACAGCTAGCACTGCGATGCAGTGCCTTAGACCACTGCGCCACTCAGATGGTTACGTTTGTTTAGAAAATGTATAAACCAAAGAGCCAACTAAGAAAAACGAGCTAATATTGCTTATTTGAGGAACGGTGCTGTAATAGTCCATCTATAACACAGGTGCTCTGTTATAAGAAGTCCCTACCAAGGCTATAATATGCTGTTAGATAATTGTTCAATATCAAATCAAATAATATTTGTAACATGCTTCGCAAACAACAGGTGCAGACTAACAGTGAAATGCTTACTTACGGGCAATGTTCCCTCTAAGCTGCGCACGTGCGCGGCCCCGCACTTCCTCCAGGACTGCTGCGCAGAAGAAACGCCATGCTGCGACGCACTTTTTAAATTTTTATCCTCATCAATCTACATACAATACCCCATAATGACCAAGGTTTTTAAAAATGTTTTTAGAAATTTTTGCAAAGTTATTAAAAATAAAGAGCTGAAATATCACATTTACATAAGTATTCAGACCCTTTACTCAGTACTTTGTTGAAGCACCTTTGGCAGCGATTACAGCCTCAAGTCTTCTTGGGTATGATGCTACAAGCTTGGCACACATGTATTTAGGGAGTTCCTCCCATTCTTCTCTGCAGATTCTCTCAAGCTCTGTCACAGCTATTTTCAGGTCTCTCCAGAGATGTTCGATCGGGTTCAAGTCCGGCTCTGGCTGGGCCACTCAAGGACATTCAGAGACTTGTCCTGAAGCCACTCCTGCATTGTCTTGGCTGTGTGCTTAGGGTCGTTGTCCTGTTGGAAGGTGAACCTTCGCCCCAGTCTGAGGTCCTGAGCGCTTTGGAGCACGTTTTCATCAACGATCTCTCTGTACTTTGCTCCATTCATCTTTCCCTCGATCCTGACTAGTCTCCCAGTCCCTGCCGCAGAAACAAATCCCCACAGCATTATGCTGCCACCACCATGCTTCACCGTAGGGATAGTGCCAGGTTTTCTCCAGATGTGACGCTTGGCATTCAGGCCAAAGAGTTCAATCTTGGTTTCATCAGACCAGAGAATCTTGTTTCTCATGGTCTGAGAATCTTTAGGTGCCTTTTGGCAAATTCCAAGCGGGTTGTCATGTGCTTTTTACTGAGGAGTGGCTTCCATCTGGCCACTCTACCATAAAGGCCTGATTGGTTGAGTGCTGCAGAGATGGTTGTCCTTCTGGAAGATTCTCCCATCTCCACAGAGGAACTCTGGAGCTCCTACAGAGTGACAATCGGGATCTTGGTCACCTCCCTGACCAATGCCCTTCTCCCTTGATTGCTCAGTTTGGCCAGGTGGCCAGCTCTAGGAAGAGTCTTGGTGGTTCCAAACTTCTTCCATTTAAGAATGATGGAGGCCACTGTGTTCTTGGGGACCTTCAATGCTGCAGACATTTTTAGGTATCCTTCCCCAGATCTGTGCCTCAACACAATCATGTCTCGGAGCTCTACGGACAATTCCTTCGACCTCATGGCTTGGTTTTTGCTCTGACATGCAATGTCAACTGTGGGACCTTATATAGACAGGTGTGTGCTTTTCCAAATCATGTCCATAGTTGGACTCCAATCATCTCTACGATGATCAATGGAAACAGGATGTACCTGAGCTCAATTTCGAGTCTCATAGCAAAGAGTCTGAATAAGTATGTAAATAAGGTATTTCTGTTTGTTTTGTTTTTTTAATTTGCAAACATTTCTAAAAACCTGTTTTCGCTTTGTCATTATGGGCTATTGTGTGTAGAATGAGGAGGAAAAATATGTATTTAATCCATTTGTCACGATCGTCGTAGAGAGTAGACCAATGCGCAGCGTTAGTTGCAAACATACTAAACTTTATTATCTTTAGTGATAATATAACAACAAAACAATAAACGAAACGTGCAGTCCTACGGTTAACACGGAAACAAACCAAACGGAAACAAGATCCCACAAACACTAAGGGAAACAGACTGTTTAAATATGGCTCCCAATCAGAGACAACCAGCAACAGCTGACACTCGTTGCCTCTGATTGGGAGCCACTCTGGCCAACATAGAAAATCAACAACTAGAACTCCCACACAGAACAAAAACACATAGAATCTACACACCCTGGCTCAACATATAGAGTCCCCAGAGCCAGGGTGTGACAGTACCCCCCCCCCCAAAGGCGCGGACTGCGACCGCGCCTCAACAAAACCCAAACAGGGGAGGGCTGGGTGGGCATTCCTCCTCGGAGGCGGTTCCGGCTCCGGGCTTGACCACCACCCTTCAATAATCCCCCCGTAGCGCCCCTGGTCCGGTCTGGTCCCGCAGGCTGGAGCTGAACTGGACATCGAAGGAGCGGATTGCTTAAGCTCCGTTGTGGAGCAGCTGACCGGTACCTGATCAGGCACCGGTGACCCAGGCACGGGTTGTGCCGGACTGACGACGCGCACCCCTGGCCTGGTGCGTGGAGCAGGAACGGACCGGACCGGGCTGACGATGCGCACCCCTGGCTTGGTGCGTGGAGCAGGAACGGACCGGACCGGGCTGACGATGCGCACCCCTGGCTTGGTGCGTGGAGCAGGAATGGACCGGACCGGGCTGACGATGCGCACCCCTGGCTTGGTGCGTGGAGCAGCAACGGGCCGGACCGTGCTGACGATGCGCACCCCTGGCTTGGTGCGTGGAGCAGGAGCGGGCCGTACCGGGCTGACGACGCGCACCCCTGGCTTGGTGCGAGTGGCAGGAACAGGCCGGGCCGGGCTGGCGACGCGCACCGTAGGCTTGGTGCGAGGAGCAGGAACAGGCCGGGCCGGGCTGGCGACGCGCACCGTAGGCTTGGTGCGAGTGGCAGGAACAGGCCGGGCCGGGCTGGCGACGCGCACCGTAGGCTTGGTGCGAGTGGCAGGAACAGGCCGGGCCGGGCTGGCGACGCGCACCGTAGGCTTGGTGCGAGTGGCAGGAACAGGCCGGGCCGGGCTGGCGACGCGCACCGTAGGCTTGGTGCGAGGAGCCGGAACAGGCCGGGCCGGGCTGGCGACGCACACCGTAGGCTTGGTGCGAGGGGCAGGAACAGGCCGGGCCGGGCTGGCGACGCACACCGTAGGCTTGGTGCGAGGGGCAGGAACAGGCCGGGCCGGGCTGGCGACGCACACCGTAGGCTTGGTGCGAGGGGCAGGAACAGGCCGGGGCGGGCTGGCGACGCACACCGTAGGCTTGGTGTGAGTGGCAGGAACAGGCCGGGCCAGGCTGGCGACGCACACCGTAGGCTTGGTGCGAGTGGCAGGAACAGGCCGGGCCGGGCTGGCGACGCACACCGTAGGCTTGGTGCGAGTGGCAGGAACAGGCCGGGCCGGGCTGGCGACGCGCACCGTAGGCTTGGTGCGAGGGGCAGGAACAGGCCGGGCCGGGCTGGCGACACGCACCGTAGGCTCGGTGCGAGGAACAGGAACAGGCCGGGCCGGGCTGGCGACGCACACCGTAGGCTCGGTGCGAGGAGCAGGAACAGGCCGGGCCGGGCTGGCGACGCGCACCGTAGGCTTGGTGCGAGTGTCAGGAACAGGCCGGGCCGGGCTGGCGACACGCACCGTGGGCTTGGTGCGAGGAACAGGAACAGGCCGGACCGTACTGGGAACACACACCACTGGCCTTAAACGGGGATCAGGAACGGGCCGGACCGGACTGGCAATACACCTCAGTACCTCTCGCCGTGCCTCTACATCTTCCTTCCCTCTTCTCACCAATGGCTCCCGTAACCTGGTGGCCTTCTGAACTCGCCCCTTATATGCCTCCAGCAGCCCCGTCGTCCATGCCATGTGCCCCCCCCTAAAAAATGTTTGGGGTTGCCTCTCGTCCGTCCGACGACGACACTGTTGACGCCGTTGCTCCTCTCTCCGTCGCGCCTCTACCGTCTCACTCCATGGACGGCGATCCATCCCGGCCTGGATTTCCTCCCAGGTCCAGGACCCCTGCCCGTCCAATATTTGCTCCCACGTCCAGGCTGCCTGCTCCTGGACACGCTGCTTGGTCCTGGTATGGTGGGATCTTCTGTCACGTTCGTCGTAGAGAGTAGACCAATGCGCAGCGTTAGTTGCAAACATACTAAACTTTATTATCTTTAGTGATAATATAACAACAAAACAATAAACGAAACGTGCAGTCCTACGGTTAACACGGAAACAAACCAAACGGAAACAAGATCCCACAAACACTAAGGGAAACAGACTGTTTAAATATGGCTCCCAATCAGAGACAACCAGCAACAGCTGACACTCGTTGCCTCTGATTGGGAGCCACTCTGGCCAACATAGAAAATCAACAACTAGAACTCCCACACAGAACAAAAACACATAGAATCTACACACCCTGGCTCAACATATATACTCCCCAGAGCCAGGGTGTGACACCATTTTAGAATAAGGCTGTAACGTAACAAAATGTGGCAAAAGTAAAAGGGTCTGAATACTTTCAGAATGCACTGTATATCATAGAAATCAAAAGCTATTTCCATGTGAACATTTTATGGGATTTGCTCCATTGGTTTTGTTGGTAGGCCTACATTATGCTCAAATAGCCACAATAGCCTATTGGCCACTGTCTAAAACTTTAAGGGTATAAATAGTGACACGAGGAATAAATACACAGTGAATAACGAATAACAATAACAAGTAAAAATAACATGCTATATACAGGGAGCACCAGTGCCGAGTCGATGTGCAGGGGTACAAAGTTATTGAGGTAGCTATGTACATATAGGTAGGGGTAAAGTGACTACGCAACAGGATAAATAATAGACCATAGCAGCAGCGTATGTGGTGAGTGTGAAAGTGTGCAAGTGTGTGTGGTGTCATTATGCATGTGTGTGCAACGTGTTATGTGTGTGTGTGGGCGTATGTAGTGTGTGTGTGTGTGTGTGTGTGTGTGTGTGTGTGTGTGTGTGTGTGTGTGTGTCTGTGTGTTGGGGTGTCAGTGTAAGTATGTGTAAGTGTGTGGGAAGAGTCCAGTTTTTGTGCATAGAGTTAGTGCAAAAAAGGGACAATGCAGGTAGTCCGGGTAGCCATTTGATTAGCTATTTAGCAGTCTTGTTTAGCAGTCTTATGGCTTGGGGGAAGAAGCTGTTCAGGGTCCTATTGGTTCCAGACTTGGTGCACTGGTAGAACAGTCTGGCTTGGGTGGCTGGATTCTGACAATTTTTTGGCTGTTCCTCTGACAGTGCCTGGTATAGAGGTCCTGGATGGCAGGGAGCTCGGGCCCCCGTGATGTACTGGACCATACACACCACCCTCTGTAATGCCTTGCGGTCGGGTGCCTTGCAGTTGCTTTACCACACGGTGATGCAGCCAGTCAAGAAGCTCTCAATGGTGCAGCTGTAGAACTTAAAGGCCCATGCCAAATCATTTCAGCCTCCTAAGGGTGAAGAGGCACTATCATGCCCTCTTCACAACTGTGTTGGTGTGTGTGGACCATGTTAATTTCTTATTGATGTGGACACCGAGGAACTTAAAGCTCTAGACCCGCTCCACTACAGCCCTATCGATGTGGATGGGGGCGTGCTCTGCCCTCCGTTTCCTGTAGTCCACGATCAGCTCCTTTACAGTATTGAGCATTAGTGGAATGGCTCCCACCTGTTGGGATCAATGATTTATGTATACACTAGATGACTGTGTTGAAGCCCCCGTGCTTCCATCTTGGCACTCTTCCACCATTGTAAATAATATTTTGGAAGCTATAGAAATGCATTTATTAATGTCTACATTCGTTTTTGCCATATGTATTCTATTACAGACACCTTCATGAATACGTTTTAATTACATTATGTGAGCTAAACATCAACATTTAAAAAACCAATATATATAGAAACATTTTCTAAAAGTACAATATTTTTAGATAACTAAGGTAACTGTCCCCACTACAACAAAAACATTGTCCTTGTAATATTTGATTGAAATACTGTAGAATTTCATGAATTCCCATAGAGTACCACAGTATGAGTCGTAATAACCATAAAACCTAGCGGTCAAACATGGAAATGGCTCCTATCATTTTTCCACCATTCATTGTTCCCATAGGGGATTTTAGAAACACTTAAAATAAGGTCTCTGTTTCGTGTAGGCTTACCCTGGCATGACGTTTTGATAACCATGTAAATCTCTCTAGGATAAGGTGACTTTTTATCAACATATTTGCCTGTATTTACCCCCAATAATGAAAAGCCAATTAGCTGCTAATGTGGCTATCATAAAGAACTAAAAATGCCATGATGATCTGGACGAGACTGGCGAATCGAGACAAATGTAAGAATCTCTGGATTAACTATCTAATGTTAGCTAAATGTAGTAATGAATAAACTGGCAACATTTCTTTAAATTTATAATTCTGTGAACTGTCTTGTGCAAGTTTAAATTGACACAATACCTGTTAGCAAACGTGTCAGCTAGAGATGACGTGCAGGAGCTGGCAGGGATTTGTAGTTTTGCATGATGTCTACTTTGATGCTAATTAGTATTTTCGAAACTGAGAGTAAATAGAGCCAAATATATTGATAAAAGTTACCTTGTCCGAGAGAGATTTAAATAGTTATCAAACCGTCACGCCAGGATAAGCCTACACAAAACACAGCCCTTATTTTAAGAGTTTCTAAAACCATCTCCCTGTTTGACCACTAGGTTTTATGGGAATTATGACACTGCTCCTACTGGGGAGTGCCAATATGGTCGACCGGCAGCTTCAAAGCCTCTCAATGGCCAATACATAGCATCAGCAATCCAGGGTTTATATACATCATTGGTTGGGACCTGGGCCTTTGTGCTAAGAGGCCTACACCAAATATGGCCAGCAATGTACTCAGCTACCCACCACATGCTATTGTTTTGAATGTTGATATACATTCTACTTGTTCTAGTTATATGGCTGGCCCGTTGCCCCAGTGCCAGCTGTGAGTGTGCTTTGATCAGGCCTGTCTGCTGGGAGGAGATCAGAGTTTGTATACAGTGGGGGAAAAAAGTATTTAGTCAGCCACCAATTGTGCAAGTTCTCCCACTTAAAAAGATGAGAGAGGCCTGTAATTTTCATCATAGGTACACGTCAACTATGACAGACAAAATGAGGGAAAAAAAATCCAGAAAATCACATTGTAGGATTTTTAATGAATTTATTTGCAAATTATGGTGGAAAATAAGTATTTGGTCAATAACAAAAGTTTCTCAATACTTTGTTATATACCCTTTGTTGGCAATGACACAGGTCAAACGTTTTCTGTAAGTCTTCACAAGGTTTTCACACACTGTTGCTGGTATTTTGGCCCATTCCTCCATGCAGATCTCCTCTAGAGCAGTGATGTTTTGGGGCTGTCGCTGGGCAACACAGACTTTCAACTCCCTCCAAAGATCTTCTATGGGGTTGAGATCTGGAGACTGGCTAGGCCACTCCAGGACCTTGAAATGCTTCTTACGAAGCCACTCCTTCGTTGCCCGGGCGGTGTGTTTGGGATCATTGTCATGCTGAAAGACCCAGCCACGTTTCATCTTCAATGCCCTTGCTGATGGAAGGAGGTTTTCACTCAAAATCTCACGATACATGGCCCCATTCATTCTTTCCTTTACACAGATCAGTCGTCCTGGTCCCTTTGCAGAAAAACAGCCCCAAAGCATGATGTTTCCACCCCCATGCTTCACAGTAGGTATGGTGTTCTTTGGATGCAACTCAGCATTCTTTGTCCTCCAAACACGACGAGTTGAGTTTTTACCAAAAAGTTCTATTTTGGTTTCATCTGACATTCTCCCAATCCTCTTCTGGATCATCCAAATGCACTCTAGCAAACTTCAGACGGGCCTGGACATGTACTGGCTTAAGCAGGGGGACACGTCTGGCACTGCAGGATTAGAGTCCCTGGCGGCGTAGTGTGTTACTGATGGTAGGCTTTGTTACTTTGGTCCCAGCTCTCTGCAGGTCATTCACTAGGTCCCCCTGTGTGGTTCTGGGATTTTTTGTGATCATTTTGACCCCACGGGGTGAGATCTTGCGTGGAGCCCCAGATCGAGGGAGATTATCAGTGGTCTTGTATGTCTTCCATTTCCTAATAATTGCTCCCACAGTTGATTTCTTCAAACCAAGCTGCTTACCTATTGCAGATTCAGTCTTCCCAGCCTGGTGCAGGTCTACAATTTTGTTTCTGGTGTCCTTTGACAGCTCTTTGGTCTTGGCCATAGTGGAGTTTGGAGTGTGACTGTTTGAGGTTGTGCACAGGTGTCTTTTATACTGATAACAAGTTCAAACAGGTGCCATTAATACAGGTAACGAGTGGAGGACAGAGGAGCCTCTTAAAGAAGAAGTTACAGGTCTGTGAGAGCCAGAAATCTTGTTTGTTTGTAGGTGACCAAATACTTATTTTCCACCATAATTTGCAAATAAATTCATTAAAAATCCTACAATGTGATTTTCTGGAGAAAAAAATTCTCAATTTGTCTGTCATAGTTGACGTGTACCTATGATGAAAATTACAGGCCTCTCTCATCTTTTTAAGTGGGAGAACTTGCACAATTGGTGGCTGACTAAATACTTTTTTTCCCCACTGTATCATTCCTGTGCGCCTAGTCTTGAAAGATGAGCACACTAACTCCCCATACATACTCACACTCAGCCACTATGTTCCACCCAAACACAGCAGCACTGGTTAACAGACAGGAATGCTGGTAAACACTGTATAGTATATGTAGAAAGAGGAGGAAGGGAAGCGCTACTAAGGTACACAATAGTAAATGTTGGTAGACAGAAGGTGCTCTTTGGTCAAAGGGGTGAATTGGTCATCAAAAAGAAAGGAGGACCAAGGCACTCTTCATATAATTAATTAAAATGCCTTTATTAGTATGGCATGTTCAATAGAAACAATATATTTTTTTAATCCGACGCGTTTGGGCTGCATGGCCTTCGTCAGGGTTTCATATAGGATCAGGGGTGTGCTAGTCATACCTTTGATGGGTATTTTTGATGTTGAGTAAGAATAAGCCCATATTGTTGTTTTTCAATATCCACAATCTGATGATCTAATAAAATGATCTATTAAAATGTAGAAATTCACCAACTTCTCATAAGAGGAAAGGCAGGTTTTGATATTAGTTATGTGCTCTCTGCATGACTGTTCATCAAAGAGAGGCAGTGTCTGTTTTGCCTGTGGCTAGAATGATGTTATCCTGCTGTCATTATGAGATATTATCTCTCACACCAGACCCACTTTTTCATTTTCCCGAACACAGTAGGCCTGGTGTCTGAGATCTGCAAGCAGACAGAAATAAATAATGAGTAACAATCTTTATACAAGAAACAATCTATGCAAAGAAAACAATTAGCAGTAACAATACAGTTCCTGTAACACGTTCAAAAATAATCTCTAAGGAAAGAGATAGCGGTTTGTAGATCAAACAAAAAAGTCAGATTATCTGAGCCGTTTGTGCCCCAACTTCCACTAGGAGACCGTATTGTTTGGGATTCCGGATATCCCAGAGAAACCCACTGTTATGTTGCACAGGGAGGGAGAGGGAGAGGGAGAGGGAGAGGGAGAGGGAGAGGGAGAGGGAGAGAGAGGACATGGCTGACCAGGCCCAGGAAGGCAGGACTGACATGGCAGCTCTGAGAAATTTAGGCCAGGCTTCCCATGAAAACATGCTGCTGAATGCTCCGCCACATATCATTTATTAGAGGCAGCAGTCAACTCATTACACATCTGAATTCACACAGCCAAAGCATTTGAGTAGGTAGGGAATAACTACCCTATACGCCAGACAACAGCTATCCTGTGTGGTATTGCTAATATTAGCCTGTGTCTGTGGGGCATTGTAAACATATGGTGAGGTTGACCCTAGACACTGGTCTAAGGTCAATTTTCCCACCTAATGATTAACATCAGCATTTTAGGGAGGGTAAGCTGGTCCTAGATCAGTGCCTAGGGGGAACTCCAACCTGAAGCGTGTGGTATGTCCTTTGTGTCTGTGGGGCATGGTAACATTATGAGAGAATGGGCTGTAGTGAATAAGGGTCTTGTGGTAGTGTATTGCAGGCCTGTTACTGATAAGGGCTGTGGAGCAGCAGGGCTGAGCAGCAGTGCTGGAATGTCAGGAATGCAGCTAAAGCAAACAGATAGGCCCACACTCCTGTGTCTAATGAAATAAATGCTCCAAGCTTTTCCGGTGGGAAATTCACATAGGCATTCACAGAGCTGGAGCTGAAGCTATACCGACTACATTTCCACAACAGACACTCACCCGAGACACCATAAATCAAAACCTGCTGATTCCGTCTGCTGGCTGGGGTATAGAGACAACTCAATCATATGAATTGCTTTGTGTATTGCTACCCACACACATATTGATGAGGTATTCAACAATCAAGTTACAGTATCCAATACAAATAGACAGAGCTACACGAAAACACCACAACATATAGCCTAAAATCAAACGCTTTAGACTTTGATCTGACAACTGTTGATAAAACCTGGATTTTTTTGTACACTGTAATAGATACTACACAACATAATAAGAAGGAACTGTTGCGAATATTGTTCAGATTAATCTCTTAAAGGTCAAGTATGAATTTTCCATATCAAACCAGAGAGAGGAGCTATTTATAGGCACTTAAATGTGTCACATTTTAGCCTCAGGTTTGCTGGACTGGATTTCCTGTTTGGTGACTGAATTGAAGCCCTGCATTTGAAGAACATACGTTATTTACCATGGCATTGGCAACTGTTAACGTACATAAGACTCTTTATAGGCTACAAAATGTATTGATTTCTTGTCATTGAAGCTGTTCATTGAATTTCTATTGAAAGTTCCCTTTGCCTACACCGGCAAGAATCACGCAGAACGGGCACGCCCCGCCTATCCTGGAACCGTGACCTCATCTGAATCACACTTCTCTGGATTGGAGGAACTTTCCACATCATTCCTTCTTTCTTTTTTTATCTGCCTTTCAAAACTAGAACGCTTGACTTCGCTAATGCGTTCATATATATTTCATTCCAAATTATATATTTTAATACTTTTGTTAAGCTACTCTTAGGCTGAGGCTGAACTAAATAACCACCTGGATAACCTATTGCCTTCTACAACTTTTCTTATTGCACTTGAGAAGATTTATATTCTGCTATTTCGGTCCATTCCAAAGACTGATTACTATTATTATATCCTGTTTTGAATCGACCAAAGCAGCTTTTGCACAATATAAAATTTTTAGATACCAAAAGTAACGAATAGTACGAGAATGGCAGGTTTGAATTCTTTGGACGCTGTGAAGAGAAAGATCCAGTGTTTGCAACAGCAAGCCGACGATGCAGAAGACCGAGCCCAGGTTTTACAGAGAGAACTGGATGGGGAACGAGAACTTCGGGAGAAAGTGAGACAATCGAATACTTATCTTTTTCCTCTCTCTGTCTACTCCCATTGGAAACTTCTCTTACCTGTCATTCTCCTCATGACGAAGTCTGTTATAATGTTTTGTTCTGTAATAGTGTGGAAAGTACACGTTAATTCATTGATCTGCCGGTAGTGATGAAGACATACAATGATCTCCATAAAAGGCTGAATTCCTAAAGGTCCTAGCGCGTGGCTGTTAATCGACAGAGGTGGGCTAGAGTAGGAATCATCCATCTTTGTCTTAGAAAGTCCACTATTGACATATATTTTCATAGCCTAAATATATGGACCTTTTCTCTCTTTGGACATTTCCTTTTCATTATAAAGGAGGAAGCTGTAACTAGGCTATTTCATTTAATAATAAGGCCTAATTTTGGTTTGTATAACCTAATACTGGAACAAGATGTTAGTATATAAAATTGGTAAATCTGGACGGCCTGTACGAACTTAAGTTTATTGTAAGATAGCTGGATGGTTCAAAAAGTATTTCACATGCTGTTCCTTTTGAAATATGTCTGAATCATCAAACATATTTGCAATAGAAACATTAAATGGCTACTTGTGGGGGGCCTGATGAGAGTAGAGAGATTGAGTTGTCAGGTCTTGATTGGGAAGGCAGTAAGAGGTGAGATAATGAGAGGATCTGGCTAAAGGAGGGGTTTCCCCTTCATTTCAGAGCAATCCATCAAAGGAAGCAAAAGAAAGAGGGATGTTTGATGGATAGCTATAGGCCTTGTGGCAAGGCAGCTTTCACTGACATATGATGCATATAGAAGAGAACCTCAGGGCTCATTAGATAGAGCTGGTGACAGAGTACTGACTCATGATTGGACAGCAGGGAGGCCATAGTTGGTCTGTGAGAAGCTTAAGAATCAGGCTTGGCTACATTTTCATTTATTGCAATGAATTTCAATTCATCCCCTGAATTGACCCCAAGTCTGCAACCTGGCTGCTGTTACATTCACAGTTTATTCAGTCACAGACTCAGTCCTTACATCATGTCGGTCTTCTCAGCCTCAAAACATTTGAAAGGTACCTCTTAAAGGGATAGTTTGGGATTTATCTACTTCCCCAGAGTCAGAAACTCGTGCATACAATTTTTATATCTCCAGCATGAAGGAAGTTAGAGGTAGTTTCACAAACCAATGATAACTAGCGTTATGACTGGAAGAACACATTCAGCTGGTACAGCAGATATATAGAAGCTAATGGCTAGGCGTTAAAAAGGCTTCTGAAGTTAGTAATTTACATAGGCTTCCAGTCATTGCGCTAAGTTGGCAATTGTGCAAACGCTAGATAGCAACTTCCTTCAAACTGCACACACAGACATAAAAATGGTATCCACAAGTTAATCTGACTCTGGGGAAGTAGATAAAGGGCTTCATTGCCAAAATCCCAAACTATCCCGTCAAACTCAAACCATTAGTCTGTGTTCAAGGATGAAAGTACTTGAAGTGGTTGAGTCTTGAGTGAGCAATTGTGTGGCTACCTCAAGGGTGTATGGGCCCATGTGTGAATAATTGGGGCAAACCAGGGTGATTTCTTGGCACAACAAACTCTTTCATTGGAACAAGGTGCACAAAAGAGGGAACATTGTTGTCTTTCTTGAGGTAATGAATCGTCTTTTGAATAGTTAAAACAGGGAGACTCTTTTGGCCTAAAACGAATGCCTTGATGTTATTTTGGAGTGAAGTGGCATTCTTGTCTTGCAAGGCGTAACTTAACTTCACACAACACCCTCTGCCTTTGTTGAACCACCATGGAATGATAATCAAGAAATACTTTACTCTGTAAAGAACAATCTCAGCTAAAGCCCCACACATACAAACCAATTATACAGTATATATTTATTTAGACTTTTGTTGCTTTCTTTGCATTCAGGTCCACTGGGCAGGGTGGGGGGAGATTGGGGGGAATCTAAGAGGAGACAGGGGATGGATGGCTGGGAGAGGGACTGATAAGCAACCTCGGTTGCTGGGTGGGAGGCATGCTTTCTTCAGGGTGGGAAGTATGGTTTCCGGATGGGGAGGGAGGATGCGGGCGAGTGGATGGGGACTGAGGGGGGAATGGGTCGGGGTTATCTTTGTATGCATTTATTTGATTGTTTTTGTACCTGTAACCCCCCTCTGAAAAAGGAAAATGTCAAAATGAAATATAAAGTTCATCACAAAAAAAAGAAATACTTGAGGAGCGACGTGTGCTTCATTGAGATTCTGTATATTCATATCAACAGTTCTCACAGTATTTAGGTTAGGTTGGAGGTTATAGGCCTACTTCAGATTATTATCCATATTCTATGTGTGTAGAGGAGAGGGATGATATCTATCCCAAGCTGAGCTAGCTTCACTCCCAGCCCCTTCCAGGAGGGACTGCCTCTGGCTCGATATAGACCATGTTGCTTCAAACCACAGAGCTAGGATCAGATTACCCTACCCCCAGTCCTAGCCTTAACCATTGGGGGATGAAACAGTATCTGACCCAGTATCAGCGGTTAGATGCAGCTTCTCTCTACTCCCTGCCCCTGAGGAACAGGCCCAGGATACTGCCTGCCTGCCGGCTCCACTCCGACACTTCCTGTGCCACAGCTTCAGCCCACATCAGCAGGAAGATAAGCAGATGCTGGACATTTCTCCCAGGCCTGGCTCATCCTGATTATGTGGGCGGTCTAAATGAGAAACCAGTTGCTATGTGAAGTTGGCTACTGACTTTGGTGCTGCAAATATTTCTTATTAAAATACTTATATAGGATAATGTGGTATTTATAATCACTTATTATAAAAGTGTAAAGAGCAGACCCCACCCAGCTAGCACATAACGTTCAGAGAACCATATGAGCGTGGTTGTCCTATGGTTATTTTGCATAAAACCTTCCCATAACTTTCTGGGAATGGTGCAGGATAGACAAAAAATGTTATTTTCTTGGTATTTCATTACTTTAACAGAACGTTTCCTAAAAGTTCAAACATGCTTACATTTAATTTCAATTTTGGTAATGTTCTAGGAACAATGTTCTCAAATAATTCAGAGACCATTAAGAAACAACGTTCTTGGCCTCCCGAGTGGTGCAGCGGTCTAAGGCACTGCATCGCAGTGTTGCAGCATCACTACAGCCTGGGGTTCGATCCCAGGCTGTGTCACAACCGGCCGTGACCGGGAGTCCCATAGGGCAGCGCATAATTGGCCCAGCGTCGTCTGGGTTACAGGAGGGTTAGGCCGGGGGGGCTTTACTTGGTTCATCGCGCTCTAGTGACTCCTTGTGGTGGGCCGGGCACCTGCAAGCTGACTTCG